GGTTAACTACATAATAGCAAAACGAAAACAACTAGCGGCTATAAAAACAACTTTAGCTAACATGGAAGCGACATATGATGCAGTCGCTTCAATTGCAGTTTTGAGTGTTCTAAGGGACCAGATAAAGAAGGCAAGATAAGGATGTATTTTTGGACTAAAATTTGACCTTTATAAATAGTCAATTTTGAAAGAACTTATTGTCAACCTCTTTCAGATATGAATCTATCTGATTCAGAAGGGAAGAACTTGCATCAGTATCTCAATTTCAATTCAAACATGGGTTTGATTCACACTCCATGTTCTGAGAAAGATTTATCATCCGAAAAGAGGAAAAAACGGAGTCTTTGTCTAAAGAAATGCGTTGAGAAAGGGCAGATGTATAGAACCTTTCAACGAGATAGTGCTTTTTCAACTCTCTCAAANGCATTCTTTTAATTGCTTATGTTCTTGGACAAACTTATAAACTAACAATACGAAAAGTAGTCTAGCAAGCAAAAGTAAATGCTTACTGCTCCCTCTATTCCAGTTTATGTGAACCTATTTCCTCTTTGGTCCGTTGTAAAAAGAATGACCCCTTTCTAAATTTGAAAACAATTAAGCTTAAACTTACAAATCTACCTTTAATGAGAAGCTTTTATAATCACACAAATACTCTGAGCCCCTTTTTGACTTGTTTAGGACCATAAATTCCAAAAGTCTTCATTTTTTCTTAAACTCCGTGCCCAATCAAACAAGTTCACATAAATTGGAACGGAAGGAGTATTAAATAACAAATATCTGCAATGGCAGCCAATTATATTGTTGAAGAAATGTTTACTTTCAATTATGAGATTATGGTTTACGGGAAATATGCTAGAATGTTTAATGATATAACTTTTGCAGCAACTTACAGTCTACCTAAGTGATTTTCACCTAAAACTTACATGCATTTAAGCGGGGACTTACATGTATTTAATGCAACATGTATGTATAAATTTTAACTTTGAAACAGTGTACAATATTAGGTTAACAAATCATCGCTACCTCCAGACATAATATCTTTTATATCGACTTTGATGTTTTCTACCTCAACTTAGTTAGTCAGATACTCTAATTTTTCAGTTTTTTACTGCATCAGTCCATACAATCAATGCGTCAATGCTAGATGATAAAGGCTACATCATCTGGAAGCCTATAGAAAGTAAATATCTTTCTCAACAGATAAACATTATGTTATTTGTATTTCTTGCGCTTAAAAGTTCAGTATGATTAGATATTAGACATATTTGTGATCTCTTTTCTGGATCAATTCAGAAGTTTGATACAATTCATATCGTGCAGGCAAAACAAAGAGATAGAACATTGTCAGTGGATTCAGTATAAAGTGACCAATGATCTGAAGTAAAAGATCCTGGAAAACCAGCCAACACAGAATTTTCAATGGATAGCAACCCACACGAAATTAATAAATGTTTGCGTCGTACTCTATGTAGTAAACTTGCAACAAAGCCACCACTATTAACTTTTGCCTTCAGACAGGCCTACATGAGCTTCATATATAAATAAATTTATGAAACAATTCAATTAGCATGGCAACACCCTTCATGCATTCAACTCATCCTTCCCAAGTAATCGTATAACAGTACCAACCATATCACAGGAACGCAATAATAGGAATTACTAAGTAGGAAACACGCCAGTAACAACAGTAGACAAGGAAACACATGTGGATCACAGTAATGAACTAAACGGAAGCACGTGAATAACAACAACAATTGGAAGATATTTTAGAAACGTTTAACTGTTTAGGTGCATTG